AATTTATGTTTCACCCCAAACTTAAACTAAATATTGTCCCCAATGTGAAATTAAAGAAAAAAGAAGAGAACTTCCCAAAATTGTCTACATTGCCCATGATGTTTTGGTGCTTGTGATGTGGATTTGATGGATGCTTCTTCTATCTTCTCCCCCAAACTTGAGATTTATCTTGTTTTCTCCTTGTTAATGTTGGTTTGGGTGTTCCGTAATGTCATGTTTCTAAAAAATCAAATTTTAGATATTAAATATATGGAACAAAGATTACTTTGCTCAAATATTTAATAACCAACTTAATTACTCAAAATCTAAGGGAAGATGGGATATAGATGATGGTTCTTAACTAAACTGTAAAAATAAACTAAACTATCATATAACTCGAAAAAAATAAATAAAAAAAGAAAGTTTGGGTTGCCTCCCAATAAGCGCTTCTTTAAAGTCATTAGCTTGACTTTGGCAAATGATCATGGGCATCTAAAGAAGGCTTTGGATGCCTTACTCATTTTTTTCTCTTGACTTTGCTCCACTTTTTGTATTTTTCCAGATCTCCACATTGTCCTTTTCAATGTAATAAGGATTTTCCATGTCATCCAATTCAAACACAATAAAGTAGACTTCAACTTCTTATTAGACTTAATCACAAAATCAATTTCTATACAATCAATGAATTTGGATGAATGTACATTGTTTTCATCTTCATTGATTTCTACATCTTCATTCAGTTCATTTGTGATCAAGTTGTCATTCACTTTAAACTATTCTACAATCGTTGAAATTTCTACGACTTGACTGATCAATTCGCATTCAAATTGACTGATCGATTCGCATTCTAGATTTACGAGCAACGAGAAGTCTCTCTTTTCAACCCCTTCAAGTGGATGTATTTTTACCTTTTGAACTCATTCAAGTAACTCCAATCTCCACTACATATATTTCACTCTTTTAACTTCACAAGTTTATTATAGTATTTTGCAGTTACCCTCTCATTCAACAAAGGAGGACCATTTCCCACAAAGTGACATCCTCACCCCAATCGACAAGTACATAATCTCCCAAAGGCATGCAGTCTTCATCAGATTTGTTAATCGCTTCTTTTTTATATTTTAAGTATTCTATGAACCCTAGAAGCTTTACCTTACTGAGGTCAATGCGTCTATACAAACAATGCTCGGTGTTATGCATCCCATAACAAAGTTGACAAAAGATATCTTCTACAAGCATGTAATTCTATCCATGTCGAGATTACTTATTTCAATTGCTCTGCTCTCTTGCCAAATGTAGGAATCATGAATATACTATTGAATAGTACCTAAAAAATACCAAAGAGATCAAGGTGGGTGGCCAATATTAACAAAATAAAAGAAAATCTAAATTAAAACACAAGCTACTTGGTAATGATATTGGTAAAAATTAAATTAAACAATTCTCGACAACGGCGCCAAAAAATTGTCATGCATTTTTTGTAAGGTGATTTATACAGCAAGTGTACGGTGTCAGGTTTTGTAATATAGTAATAAAGTTAAGAGTAACGAACCTACAAGGATTGTAACTTAATTTTTACTAAGTACTATAATTATGTAACTTCTATTTTATCTAGACAAATGAAATTTGTAATCAATAATGTTATCTATTATTAAGAGGAATCGTTGTGTTAGATCAAGGAATACAATTTATACGAATAAATCAATATAGGAAAGGCCTAGGAAATGATTTCACATAACTATCAATTATAATTCATTTGTGTCTAACTATTCTAGTCAATTTTTTTTCATGTTTAAAAACAAGAATCCTAATGTAATTCTCTCCCCTCTCTCAAGTGCCGGCTAGAAATTATTCCTAGATTTCATATTTCGAATTAAAATCAAAGATTTATCAAGTTTATGATTATTTTATGCTGTAAACTTCATAGATCCTACACTTTATCTCGAAACCCATGAAATCTACATTATGTTAATCCTGTGATCGTACCTAGATTCCCCTCTCTCAAGTGTCGAAATTGATTAGCATCTATTCATTCAATTAGTGGCCAACTAATTAAAAGCATTAATTTCATAACACAATTAAACATATGTGTGAAATCATACATAAATAATTATAACGGAATCAAACCGTAATCTCAAATTTTGGTTACAATCAAACCCTAGAATATGAATCTAGTTCATGGTATAACCTAGGAAAATACTAAAATTCATATAAGAAAACATAAGGAAGAGAATGGAAAAACTCGGTTGTAGATCTCTAATTTCTTCTCTTGTTGTTGTTCTTGCTTCCTTTTGATTTCTTGAATCTTGCCCCTGTTTTAATTGGTTGATTTCTCTCCTCAATTGTGGTCTTTAGGGTTATAGCATTTTGAGATTTTTTGACGAATTAGGGTTGAATTGGGCCAAAAAAAAGAGTTAAAAAACACTTTTCCTGCAAGGCGGCACCTCGACGCCTCTATATCGATTTTGTGGTACCGTGTATTCTGTTTTATTTCAGCATGGTGGGATGGGCGTCGTGGCTCCCACTTTGAGTGCACGATGGCATTGCGCAACTTTTAGTATTTTATCATAACTTCTTTTCCCGATATCTAATTGAGACGATTCAAGATTCATTAGTAAGCTAACTCAAAAGGTTATAACTTTGCTTTAGATATAATTTTCCAATTCGAACGTTTACTATATCAAAAATGGGTCTCAATATGAGACTAAAAAATCGGAGCATAACTTCTTCAGTAATAAATTGATCTGTGATCATGCTTTGGCTATATTTGTTCCCTTTGATGCCTATCTTTATCTAATTGACTTCGAGCACTCTTGAATCTTTATTATGAGGTCTGACACAATTTTTTTGTATTTACACTTTAGTTCCCGAACTTTGGATCTCTTACAACTTAGCTATTTTCTCTATTTTTTCAATTTTTGCTTATTTCCATCAATCTCATCAACTTATATCACAATATCAAAGCACATATTAAAACGTTCTAAACTCATAGGAATTAGCTAAATATCAAGTTTAGATGGTATCTAAAGTATGAATGAAATACACTCATTAGATTGCATCTATCACGTGATGATTTATCCATTTATATAAGTTTTTGCTAAATTCATTATGTTAAGAATCATATATTACATATGACAAATTTATTTTTCTCAATTCCTTTTCACATAAGTATACACTTTTAAGTATTCAAACTGCAATTGCAAAAACTTCAACTTTCTCTAATAAGTTCAATTTTGATAAGAATGCTTCATTTTATTTAACCAATCATGTTTTCAATTTATATACTTCGATAAATTTATTTTGATATCCTCGTTATTCACAATATGAAGCAACATGTCATGTACTTATTGTCGACAACTTTTTTCTTTTTCGATTCTATTTTTTCATAATGACATAACTTAATAAGATATATTCCACTTTCAACAAGTGCTTGAACTATTGAACTTGTTTTGAGGTTTTTATAATTTGTTGTGTATATGTATATATTTTTTATTTCTTAAATGAGACTATCTTTCTTATATGCTCCCATTTTTTCAAGAATTTTTATCTTTAAAACCGAATATCAGAGCATTTCAAACATGTCATTTATATAATACAATAGTTTTGTCCTTCTAAAACATCAATATAAGAGATGGAGCATCTATATGGGATTTTATTGATCTCTTATAGGTCAATAACTGCATCTTAGAAATGATTTATCTTTTTATATTGTTAAGTGCGAAGATATGGATAGCACTATATGATGCATTATGAAATTTTTTCAGCTACTATTTTTTTCCCCTAATGCTTAAAAAACAATTCAATTAAATTGTGAATCAGCGAACTGGCGTTATAAAATATCACTCGTTAGAGCTTAAGATATTTTATTGAGGAGGTAACAATAAAATAATTTTTAGAACCTTAAGATGTATAATGTTTATACTTCTTCAAAGTATTAACTTAATATTTCTCTAGAATATTAATTAAACGGAGTCATACAATATTGATATGAAATTTGTTTAAAATATAATATGTACAAATATTATATTTTTCAAGAGTAACAATATAATACCATTTTTAGATATTATTATATTATGTGTGAATTTGTGCTTATCAAACAACAACAAAATAATATTCAATTTTCAAGTAATTCTACAATATTCTTTTATAATATTAAGTATAACGCTACTTTGACGGAGAATGAAAAAAGGGTTTAAATTTAGGTACTGCATGGCAACACTTGACTGTACATTAAAAAAAAAAAAAAAAAAAAACTAGCCAATGTCATGTGGCACCTGAATTTAATCCATGTCCCCATTTCCTATTTTTGTGGTAAAATTCTAATATTAATTCGGAATTTTGTTTCAAGAATAATAAGATAATATTTTTTTGGAATATTGTGCAAAAAAATTATATTTAAACAAATATTAATTTATAATAAATTGGTACAATACAGTCAAAACAATATAATCATATTGAATAACTATACCGCTTTGTTACACAACTCAAAATTAAGCGAATATTGAACGGGAAAGAAGAGTTTCTTTGTAACTCAATTGGATAGAATTTATTGTCTTTATTTGATTGAATGAAAAAATTGTTTTTCCTACCCTTAGAGATTTATAAGTAGAAAGAAGAATAATTTTGCCAATTCAATTGGTTAGAATTTCGTACTGATAATATATTATAAATTAAAGAAAAAATAAAAGAAAATAAAGAAATTAATAATTATATGTGTATTTTATTGAGAATTAAAATCTCATATTTATAGATTACAATTATGTTTGACAAATACAATGATCATTCATAAATATTATTTTATTTACAAGACTTAGTAGTTAGTACAATTATAACGTGATAATATTTTAAAAAGATAATCTGGACAAATATATTTAAAAATATACAATTTTATTTTTAACACAAGAGAAAATAGTTAAATGAAAAATTTATAGTAATAAAAATGATTTTTGTAATTTTCAATACTAAATGGGCGCCCTTAAAATTGTCAGACACACGTGTCTAATATTTATTGGTATCCTTTTTAACAGATCTCTCGTCTTTGGCACAAGTCCTTGTCCATCCTCACGACCCTTCCCAATTTCGAGAACATGGACTCGTCACTGAGTACATCAGCGGCAGCAACCGGCGGTGGGAACGGCGTAACTATTCCACAATCCAACGACCCATCCCCCATGGAATCTTCAGCCACCAACGCCGCAACTCCGACGGACGATTCAAAACAAAACTTAACCCTAGTTATCAATTCAATCCAGAAAACATTAGGCATCCTCCATCAGCTCTACCTTACCGTCTCCTCTTACAACGTGGCATCCCAATTACCCCTTCTCCAGCGCATGTAATAGCCTAATTTTTTTGGTCAATTACTATATTTATTTATTTTTTTTCATTTTTTAACTGAGTCGGTCCCTTTTTTTTTTTGTTTTAATAAAATTTGTTCCTTTTTGTTGGAACAAATAGGAATAATTTAGTGTTGGAGCTGGATAATATGACGAAATTAGCGGAGAACTGTAATATTCAGGTGCCAATGGAGGTTCTTAAGTAAGTTTTTCTTTATTAAAAATGTTCTTAAAACTGGTGAATTATTAGTATCTATTCACTTTTTTTTTTTTGTTTTAATAAAATTGGTTCCTTTTTTTTGGAACAAATAGGAATAATTTAGTGTTGGAGCTGGATAATATGACGAAATTAGCGGAGAACTGTAATATTCAGGTGCCAATGGAGGTTCTTAAGTAAGTTTTTCTTTATTAAAAATGTTCTTAAAACTGGTGAATTATTAGTATCTATTCACTTTTTTTTTTTTTTTTTTTTTTTTTTTGGGTTCAACAACGAATATGCATTTTCTATATCCTGCCTTTAGTTTGATAGATGATGGGAAGAATCCAGATGAATTTACCCGGGACGTGTTGAATAGTTGCATTGCCAAAAACCAGATTACTAAAGGCAAAACTGACACCTTCAAGGTTGGTCTTTTTCTTTAAAACCGTGCATTTTAATTTATATGTGAAGTGGTTTGCCTTCTCATTTTTAAATTAGTTTTATGGCTGATTGCAACTTGTATTTTGCTTAGGTATTAAGAAGTTCCTTTCATTTGAGTTCTTTTGTAGAATTTACCTGCAACTGATTTATATGGCTCATTACTTTATATAACTTGAGTTCGTATGTGCATTTTCTCAAGTAATTTTGCTCCTGTTCCCCATTAATCAAATATATTCTTGAGCAGCAAAGAATGATTTTCACATCTGATCCAAAAAACAGGTAGGCGCTCTGGTTGAAGCTGGAAAGTGTACAAAAATATCTCTATACTAACAACCTGCTTGCCGAAGCTGAGATATTTGAAAGTAATGTGTGGAATCTGGAAGAAGTAAAAGTAACATTGGCAAAGAGTTCTAGTAAAGTTCAAATAGGACATTTTATCCCCAAAGAAAGCTCAATAGTAAAAGTTAAATCCTTAATCTATATTTGAACAATCATATTTGTACAATCTGTTTGCATGAAATTAGGGAGTTGGAATAACTAATTGGGAGAAACCATAATTACTTTGTCAGTTTCCCTTCCAATGAAGTAAGAGATTCATATCAAGGACCGCTACTTCTGACCTCTAGTTGAAGGTGAATGACCCAATCATTCCATTTTTCTGGACCAAGATCAGCAGTCTGTTCCCAAATGTAAATTCAATATCGTCGTTAGAAGCCAAATGTATATTCAAAATCATTGTTAGAATCTAAAATAAGGAATAAAATTGCGAATTAGGTGAACAAAGAAAGGATAAAATAAAGAATGGAATCTTTTGAAGTTGGCTGAGTTTATTGCATTGGCTTCCTTTAAACTTTTTACATTTCCATACGGTTGAATGAATACCTTATTTGTTGAAGTTTATAAATTTTTGCCAACCATTTGAATATTCGACCACCTTCTTATCAAATGACAAAAAAGATAACATAGTCCATGTCCAAATTTTGAACCTGAGCAACATTATCCATACCCTGTATTTTTATTTTTATTTTTTTTTTATCCTAGGAAGTTTTGTGAACATGGTTTCTTTTTGTCGGTTTCTTTATAATTTGGGGTTCAAAATTCGTTCATTCTCATCTATTTCTAAAATCTGAATCTTGTTGTACCCTCTGATGAGCTGATGATGCAATTCCTTGACAGGCAACCAAATTCATAGGTATTAAGACCTAAGTGATTCCTTTGATTCCTTGATCTGAAGTTCAAATTTTTTAATTTTTATTTTTTTTCCTCTCCACAATTGTTGATTGTCGTTCCTTGGGAGATGAAGCTCATAGTTGGAAATAGTCTGTCTTACCAGTAAATCTGCACTAATCTTCAGCATTTGTTAATCATTGAATTTTCCTACTATTTACTGTTAGAAAAGAGCCATATTAATAATAAAACTCGCCATGATAGAAAATCCTTGACAGACCCCCTGTAATTTTCTTAGGCTTTTTATTGTCGTATAAATGCTAGTATGCTACTATGAATTTCCATTATAGCTTATCGCATCTATAACAGATTCATTTTCTCTGCAATGGCAATTTATTTAAAAAAAGGTTCTAACTGTGTTTGGTGCGAGCTAAAGTGAAATAACTGTTATTTCTTTTATGATGCAGGGCTTAAGACGCCATCTGCTCGAGGAACTGGAACAGACATTTCCTGATGAAGTTGAAGCATATAGGGATATACGTGCAGCTTCTGCAGCTGTGAGTTATTATTTTTTTATGGTGGTAACACGTTACATGTGTGAAACAATGAAATTCTTGCTTTATGATATATTTTTTACTTTTGAGTTTTAACTTTCCCAAGTTTCTAGTGGGATTTATTGCTTCAAGAATAACTCATGATTTTGTTATAATAAAATACTCTGGTTTTGATCACTTCGTGCTGTTCTTATTAGCTATACTGTTTCATCATCGTAGTACCACGTGTTAACTTAGATGAGGAAAGGGAATACGAGGAAATCATAATTCCTGGAAAAATCTTGACGAACAATTTGTGCAGTTGTGACCATTAGGAGTAATAGGTGCACAAGTTTTTGGGGCATGTTGGGAAGTCAATTCCTTTTATGATTGATAAATGCAAAGTCTTCAATAAATGGTAGTAAACTGAAAATATCAGCCTTTACATAGCACCACGTATTTGCTTGAAATGGATTTATAGTATTAGGTTTAAGTACCCAACTTTTTTTTAATGTTAAGTGAAGTAAATTGACTCCAGCAACCACATCAACCAGTGGAAGAGTCTTATATTTGCTTTACCTGTAGATTAGCCCCGTAGATTTTAAATGGAAAGGGTATCGTACTCCACCTCAACAAAGAAAAAAAGGTGAAAAGGAAAAGAATGAACACTTAAGCTGTAAGGTAGAGAAGATATGCAACTTCTGGAAGTGGATAAATTGTAGACTCATAGGACCGAGTATCAAAAATTTTGTGATCTGCTAATGGGGTTTGGCTGGTTTTTAACAATAGAAATGTTGGCTTAGCTGGCTATAGATGTTGGACAACCAACTTTGTTTTTGTCAGTTAATAATGTTAAGCACAATAAGGTTTTCTATGTAAATTAATAGATCTTTCTAACAAGTACTAAACAAATCGAGCCTGTATCATTAATTTATTTTTTTCCCTTGTAATGTTATATAGTTGGAAACATTTTTTAATTTGACATTCGCCTTTTAACTTTTTTTGTCTAATACAGGAGACAAAACGGTTTGCACAAGGTCAAAGCACGTTACCAAATGGTGATGCAAAGGTGAAAACTGAGATTTGAGAACCGTGGAGTTCTGGAACTGGGTTAATTCAGTCGATATGTGTTTAGTGTTTGTAACATGAGGCTTGAATAATAGTTTGCTTTTATTGGGTTTTTGACTCTATAATTGAGAATGTTGCCTTTCATAAACTCTGAAACTTGGAAATATCGATGTTAACGTTAAGTCAAAAGTTGATGTTTATATATCATTCAGACATTGGCACTGATTGTTGTACATAAATGACATGGGGGTATGAATATGCCTTGACATAGCCAAGGATGCCAATTAATTGGTAGGTGAACCACCTTGTAACCATATAAAGCTATTCAATTAAATTATTTTAGTTGGCTTTTAGCTCAACTTCCTGCTCACAAATCTTAACCAATCTTCCCTACTTTGTGTATAAATTTGTAATCCAAATTCTACGACAAAACAATCAAAATTCAAGCTAAAAATGGCTAGCAAGAAATCACAAGCAGATGAACGTGCCGGAGCAGAAATTGTGCGTGGAGCTGAAGAATGCTACCAACACTCTATTGAGCTCCTAGAAGAGCTGGGATTTCCCAGAGGTGTACTTCCTCTCAAGGACCTTGTAGAATGTGGACGAGTTCGTGAGACGGGCTTCGTTTGGATGAAACAGAGGGCTCCCTATGAGCATTTCTTTGTCGGGAGTAACACACTTGTTAGCTATGCCAATGAGGTTACTGCATATGTGGAGAAAGGCAGGATGAAGAAAATGACTGGTATAAAGAGCAAACAGTTGCTTTTGTGGGTGCCAATAGTTGAAATGAGTACTGAAGAATCTGATGCTAAGAAAATTTATTTCAAGACTCCCATGGGGATTGGTAGGTCATTTCCTGTAACTGCTTTTATGAGTCCAGAGGAGAAGAAAGTTTATCTGGAGAATGTCAAGGAGCCATGATGACTTAAAGGGCTCATGAATATGCATGTTACACTTTTTCTGCACTTCCATTTGCTAATCTTGATTGTTGTTATTGATCGCATTTTTAATTATGTTATGATGCATATTTGAAATATATTTATTCTCCGTCCTATTGTACTTATTTAGCGTGCACAAGAAGTGACATCAACCAAGTTACATTGAATAGATGAGAACATGAATGTCACAGTTAAATGGTTAAATTGCACGCATCTACTATACTCCAGTCCTGCGAGCCCCACATCCCTCTCCCCTGCAAGCTCCCTCAATCCCTTGTGAGTAAAAGTAATTATTTCGTGTGGAGAATTTGGTAGATACTTATTCAATTTACAAAAATCCTGAGTGGGCATTTTCAACAACAAAAAAAAAAAAAATTTTAAAAAAAGTTACAGGAGAAAATTTGAGGATCTTACTCCCTGCCTCGCTCAAGAGGTGAGTCGCTTCTTGGTTCCAATACTTCCCTTGTGATTGAAACATATCATTCCATTTTCAGATCCTTTAATGTCATTTCACTTTCTTTTTATCGAAGTAAACTATTTTGTACTAAACTTGAGCAATCTAAGAGTGAATTGCCCAAATAGTCACTGAACTTTGCAGAAAGTTTTCACGAGGTCATTGAACTTTAAAAATCATCTCATTTATCACTAAACTTTCATTTTGTAATCTCGTTAGTCACTAAGCTCAAATTTCATTAAGACATTGATGGAGTGTTGACATGGTTGGCTGACGTCGTGCAAAACTCCCTCAAAAGAAAAAAGAAAAAAAAAAGGAAAAAAAAATGAAAAAAAGAAAGTTGAACTGAAACACAACAAATTCGCACCAGCAGAAGATATCTCCATCTCCCTCCTCAGAATCAACCACCACCAATCACTGTAAACCACATCGACAGCAAATTCGCATATCAACAAAAAAGGGGCAGATTTATGTCAAATGGCTAAAAAGTTGGGCATATTTTTTATTTAGAAAATTGGAGCAAGTAATGGATTAATTGAGGAGTTACCCAAGGTCGTATTAACCTGTTGAAAGTTGTACTAGGTCCAATTTGTTGCAATGACATCATTTTGCAAGTCAATTGGAGGCGAATTCACATCGGGTACATGCGTGCTTGTGGGGGCTAAAAATTTAAGCCTGAAAATTTTGAATTGCTTTACTATTTGATGACATGAAACCATGGTTGGATGTGCCTTAGAGTGTAGAGGAGGCTAATATATGTTGGCCGTGATGGGTGTTACTGAAAGGGTGGTTGCTATCGAGTTTTTTGGCCATGAACGGTGAGGGGTTTGGTGGTTACCAGGGTGCGTTTGGGAGCAGCGTGAGGCCGGGATGGTGGTTGGGATTTGTTGGGCAGTTGAGGCCAATATCGATAGCGGTGATACCCGGTGGCCTAGGTGGCAGGATGGTGGTTTTTTGGAGGTGGGAATCGACAGTTGGTGGCGGTGAACATGGTTTTTTTTTTTTTTTTAAACACGTTCAAAAAAAAATTATGTGTATATCATTTGCTTGACTTGGCATCCACTAGTTGACACATCAGCCAACCACGTCAACACTCCGTCAGTTTTTTTAACAGAATTTGAGCTCGGTGACTAACGAGATTACAAAATGAAAGTTTAGTGATGAATGATGTGATTTTTAAAGTTCAATGACTATTTGGACAATTCACTAGCGATCTTAGGATTTCAATTAATTATTAAGTGCACAATTTAATTAAGCTTACAGCTTGCCAACTAACTTAAAAACAATCTTTCCTGCTTGCATTATACACCCATGTATTGCAATAAAAATATAGGACTATGTGCTATATGTACATAAATGTTGATACAATGGTTTACACCTATATGAGTTGGCAGATTTTGATGTATTGATCTTTACAACTCCTCTTCCAATCAACTATCAGATTTTTGACACATAATCAAGGTGTACATTTTGCATATACAAGTAGTTTAATTCAAAAATTATTGTGCTATAATATGTAATAAGTTTACATAATGATTTATACCCACATAATGTGGTCAGAATTGAGTCAGAATTAAACAACTAAAGAATAAAAAAAAAAAAAAAAAAAAAAAAAAAAAAAACCACTTTCCTACTATCTTTTTGACACATCATCTATATGTAAAATATTATGTAATTACTTATGTACAAATAATATTATTCAATGCTATATACCAATGAAATTAAACAATATCATTCTTAAAATTAAGGAATGATTATATGCTAACTGTGTCCAGTTAGAATATTTTGAGCAAGTTCTGTATTCTGCAAATATATAAAAATAAATTTCTTGTATAATGTAGCATTTAAGTACAAAGGAAAGAAAACTTTTGAGATTGAGTCGAGATTTATTGTCCAAATTTGCTATCCATTTTGCTGTTCATCCAATTAATTCGTTACATATCATCAACACTTAATATGTTATTTAAAATATATCCTCATTAACTTCATTACTAACCTACTAAATTGATGATGTGTCAATAATAATTGAATTTACTTTAAAAAATGGACAACAGATCTAACTTCTTGAGAATTGGATGTTGGAAAATGGAAATTGTATAAATTTCTTCCTAGTTCGATATAAGATAATGTTGAATATTTATGAAATTTAAACTTTACAAACTTCACATAATTGTTAAGATCTTCATGTCAAACCATCAAGAAAAATAATTAATGTGGAACATACCTTGATCTATTGATTTGTATCTCGAATAATGAATCTTTCTATTATAATATTTGAATAGTATCTTTCGGATCTTTAATCGTGATTCTTAATTATGGATTCTTGAATTCTTTTTTTTGATTCTTGATTATAGATAGCCTTTTCTTGATTTTAGGTTTAGAATCTTCCTCTTTAATATGCCTTCTCTATAATTCTTGTGTTAATGAGATGACACAAAGAATCAGGATTTACATGTGAATTGGGAACCATAACCCTATATATAGTTTTCATATGTATTTTGTCCATCATTAAATACAATTATCAAGAAATCCTGTCTCTATACGTATAATCCGGTTCACACTTTATTTAGATGTCCTAAACTCAATTACTTATTTCTTTATTAGATTACTTTAATTTTGAGCTTAACTCTAAAATAGTCTTTATGCACAATTAATTACATATGTTGGCCGACATGGCAAATTAATAATTTTTCACCAATCTTCCACTTGGGCCACATATGTTACCTTATAAATGTGTATAATCTTATGAGCTCAATACGTTTGCTATCATAACCAAAAGACATCTCTAAACAATCTCGTCCATTAATTATATTAATATAAGATCAAAGCGATTTTCATTACAATTATCATAACTAAACCCTCATTGATCACATATATCAACACAATCAAATGACATAAATGAATTATGAATGTGTAGCGTGAAAATTACCTGCAATATGATATGAACATGTCTATTTTCCAAATGGTCTTACTTTATGAGATCAAACTAAAACTTTAATCAAGGTGAAACTAAATTGAATGCTTTATTTCTAAAATAAACCAAAATTCATGGACAGAATTATGTGTCCAAAACAGACAACATCTGAATAAAACTCCCTATAAACTGACATATTATAAAAAAAAATGTAATACCCATGTGAGCAATATGCTCATGAAATATCTTGGATGATAAACTCTCGGAAAGCGGATTCACAATTATAGTGCTTGTCCTAATTATTTCATAGAAACTTGAATATTCTAAATTATCTCCTTAATAACTAAAAACTTAATATCTATAAATTTTGACATTATCAAGCTATTGTTGAAATACAAGACTGCTATTGCCACAGAATAACCAAAATAGTCTTTCAAATCCATCCAAAATATGCAGCCTAGTGACAAAATTTTACAATCATATTTCATGATCGAAATCATAATATCCAATGATCTCCAATTGGTCTGATTTTCTTGAATGTGATCACGTGATTCTTATTTCTCTATAAATACCGAATAACCTAATTGGTTGCTTTCCAAATATCCATTCTAGAGTTATTTAAATACTTGCCTAGCATTCAACCAATGAATGTCATATCCGGACATATGAAAACATCAGCATACATTAATCTTCCAATTGTAGAAGTACAGGAAATTTTCTATACTTTCATTTCTTTAAGTTTATCCTTGGGGTATTAATTGAGACTAAACTTGTCTCCCTTAATAATAGGGGTATTATCTGGTTTACATACATGCATCCCAAATTCTTTAATAACTTTATCAATATAACTCTTTTATAATAATCCAACTATGCAACGGGAACAATCTCAACGTATTTGTATTCCTGACACAAAAGAGGCGCCACCAATATCTTTCATCTCAAAATTCCATGACATAAATATGTTGTTTTCATCCAATTATCCTTTATCATTGTAGGCAAATAGTGAGTCACTGATATCTAATACCAGAAAATATACTTACTCCCACTAAACTTGTGTATACACAATCATCAACTGAATTCATGTCAAAATCAAATGAGATAATTATTTGATGAAATTTATGATACCATTAACGAAAAACCTGTTTAAGCCCATAGATGGATTTCTTTAATTTGTAAACCATGAGATGTAGCTTAAGATCAAATTCCATAATAGTTCTAAAAGAGTCTTTTGTAGAAATTGAAGAGAAAATGTCTTTAAAATCAATGCCTTCCTTTTAAGTAGAGCCATTTGCAACAAGACGAGTCTTATATCTCTTCACATCACCCTTCGAATCTCTCTTGATTTTAAATATCCATTAGCATCAATGGGTTTTGCACCTTTAGGCAATGAGATTAGTTCCCAAACATCATTATTACTCATGAACTTTATTTCTTTATTCATGACATCAATCCATTCTTAAGAATTACTCATTTACATTGTATGATGAAAATTGATTGATCAGATCTTATTCCACCAATACAATACAATTCATATTTTCTTGGAGAAAAATTATAAAATTATTCGAATTGCCTTTTTCTTTTCTTTAGTGGCTTTAATGCCATTTATTCTTAAGATTGTTGAGTTTGTCCTTCTAAAACAATATTTTGATTGTATATGAGAGATTTAATAATATAGTATTGATCCAAAATTACTTATTGAACAAGATCTGGAGCAAGAATTTGTTCTTGGCCCAGATCATAGTTAATTGTAACAGAAG